ACTTTTGCCTCTCTACTGATCTTTTCTGATGGTTCTATATTTTCAGACTGGTAACAAGCTGTTATCAAAATACGAAAGAAGGGAACTCACTGATAAGATACTTGTTGCAATTGCTTTGATATTTTATCTTGCCGTCATATATTATGTGTTACAAAAGAGAGTATTGTCAAAGTTATGGCTATGGTGATGGGAAAGGGAGGGTTTTGTTTGTAATTTGGAGTCATCTGTGATATACACGGTTTTGTAAATATTTTTTGACGTTGTTGATAAATTGCGATGGAGACGTTGTCGTCTAGCTGTATGCAGTCGTCACCTGTTTGTCCCTGAATTGTACCGCCTATTTTCAGTTTATTTAATTTTCATCATTGTTGTGTGAACGAAAACAGGGCTGGTAGACATGGAAGTTGATACTCCCCCTGTAAAAATGGAGGATTTAGTGCATGAATACGCGGAGCTACTACGGCAATCGAATGATGAGGTATGTTGGCAGTTATGTTGTTCAGACCTACAGTAGCACCCGTGAGATTTACCCAATCCAGGCTGCTAAACGTATGGTCACCCGTGTGGAAGGAATTCTCGAGGCTACAGATGACTCTGGCAGGAGCACTCCTCACTTTGCAGCGGTTGGAGGCTGTCTACCAATTCTGCAGTTATCCATCTCACAGGATAAGTCTGCTGCCAACCGTACTGATGAGGTTTGGATTTCCTCAATGTTTTTGAAGCACAGTATCTTTTATGCAATTTTTTTCTATTTTTGGCGATTATTTCTAAAAGTGTTTTTTTTTTCATTTTGCAACTTTCTTGAACACTCAGTTACATGTGGGATTTTTGAGATTTTCGCCCTAGTTTTTTAGCGCATCGCTATGGGATGAGGCCTCAGGCGTGAGGCAATTTCTAAAAACTGGAGTGGAATTAAACCCCTAGAGACTGGCGGCCTAAGAACGCCAGCGATTGCTGACAGCAAGACACACCCGTGGTTGTGCAGTGTTCTACTCTGTTTGGCTCGCTGAATGCTTCACTGAATTGCTTCTTTCTGTTTGGAAAATGGTTTTCGATGTAATACCTGCAGCAGTTTGGTACTAGTCCAAATAAGTTGCAATCCCGTCAAAAATGTATTTGATTCGCTTTCGTCTTTACACTCACGTTATGTTGTAACAATGGCACCTTTTATGTGGTCTATCGTTTTAGATGGGCTGGACTCCATTGATGATTGCGGCATCAGCTGGACGAGTCGAAATTGTACGATATTTACTGTCTCTGACACAGGTGTGTTTTATAAGCGTTTTTCCCTGAACCCGGCGACTTTTGTTCGTTTTGACTTTTTATTAGTGCGGCCTCCGAGTGGTCCATTAGCCCTATTTGGTCCTTTGGCCCGGTGACTTGTCGACACCCAAAGTTTCGATCATTTTGTTGCTCATTGGTAGGAATGTTTGCAGGACGCTTATCACTGCGAATTGTGTGGGAGCTGCGTTGCATTCGCCTATTGTATCCTCGCCCCCCATTAGGTAAAATTTGTTTATCGATAATGATATCGTATAACTTCGTATGTTGCATTAGATTTTTCAAATTGATTGGGTAACCATAGAAGAACTCTTCGTGTTCAGGTGGATGTAAATCACAGGAATGTGAATCGTCAAACCGCGTTGCATTATGCGGCCAGTAAGAATCACAGAGAGGTAATATTTTATGAATATCATTCAGTAAAGAGCAGTTTACTCTAAAATTAGCAATCGCTGAAAATATTTTCAAAAGTTCTGTTTACTTTCATTATAGTTTTTGTCTATTTCATGAGTATATTTCAGATTGCTCATTTGCTTCTTGAGGCAGGAGCAGACGTGAACGCTTCAGATAAGTATGGTGCGACACCTCTTCACCGTGCTGCTAGCCAGGGACACGACAAGGTTGGTGACAGATGGTTTGTTGGGTTTCTATGGTTGTACTTTTTATTGCTTTTTTGCATGAGTTTTTTTTTACTTATTTGTAAGCTGTTTTGAGATAGACCCTCTCTGACTATACACTCTAAGTTTACCAGCAAGCAAACGCGAGTCGATGGGAGCATGCTTGTTTTCGACATGTCTTTGGCGACTGAAGAAAACCTGTTTGTTGGTAAACCTAGAATGTATAGTCAGAGAGGGTCGATCTCGAAACAGCTTATAAATAGGTGATTCCATCTGAGTGGGCTCGCAGGCGTAGAGTTTTTATTCGTGCTTATCTGCTTCCATTGCTGAGCGACAAATGGTTTCTCTAAGAAGTCGCCTATAGCGCCACTGTAAGGCTTAGGATGTCTCCAGCCTCTTTTGGCACTTTCGCGATGCCTCCTGATAAAATTGGGCTGGCACCTGATATCGTAGCGTTTTTTTCGTTAGGGTTGAATTCGGCCAACGCATGTTTTTTTCTCTCATATAAAATGTTGATGGCATCTGAAATAGCACTTTTTATCTATAGTACCTTATTTGTCTTTTTCTTAATAATCCATAACTGTATCTAGACATAGCGCTTGAGATTTGTTGACAGGAGGCGCAACAATGTTCAGCGGAGGTTGACCATGAAGGTAAACCTTTGAGAGGGGATGGGCTCCAAATCACTTCATCTATCAGTACCTGGAATAAAGTACGCATCGTCGTACGTCTTCCTGCTAGTTCCCACATCTTTTTGGTAGTGAATAGTTTCCCAATCAGGTTTTGGAGCTCGTCCCCTCTCAAAGGTTCACCATCTTTCATGGTCGAATGTACTGTTCAACCAAATGGAGAACTTCTGCAGGGTTTTTAATTTTACTGTCTTTTTGTTCTTCACTTGTTTGAGGAGATAGTAACTGAGGATCATTGAAGGCTTCTGAAGTCGGAATAAAATTTAATCACCATGAATCTGTGTTGTTCAATTTCAAAGAGATAGAATCGTTCCAAATTCCAGATCGTGCACATGCTTCTTGCTCGTCCAAAAATACACGTTGATGCCAGAAATTCTGAGGGAAACACACCACTGTAAGGCAGCTTAAGACATATATGTCATTGTTCAATTATGGCTTCCAGTGTGATAACTAGCAAAAAATTTGCAGGTTCGTTGCATGTGAGGAGGGTCGAGAAGATGCGGCGATTGCTTTGGTGCGCAAGGGAGCCGACTTAAAAGTGAAAAATAAGGTAGGTGAGATGAATTGATATATTCTATGATGTAGGATGACTTGCAGTCGAGTGCTGTCTGACTGATTTCAGGAAGAAAAATGTCCTTTGGACGTGATTCAAACGAGTGATATGCTGATAAAGCTGCGTAATGCTGAGAAAGCAGCAGTCAGGCAAATGCAGCCTGTGATCTCTTTTACCCGGTGTCTTCGCTAAATTTGGTACCATACCATATGGCCGCGCCTTTTCTTTCATTAGCTGACTCGCCTTTTTCAATCGCTTTTGGTGTTTTAATGTAAGAATTATGAATTATTTATTGAACACCGTTCTTGGTTATTTTTTATGTGTCCCTATGATGCACAACGTATACCGTCCGTTTCGACGTGTTAATCCAGTCCGCAAGTACGGAGGTGTGCAGCTGCGCTGCGGCATCGTGTCATGCACGCACGTGGCAATGATTTTCTTTGAATGTTGTCACTTGTCGTGACGCGGAGCAATTGAATGACAAAATATGTACTTATCATTTCATCATCAGGACGTTTTTCACATACATATATCTTCAGGCATATGACGTGGCAATGAGCCGCTGAAATTGCATGCTTTTTGTCTGCCGTTCTGTAGCATTCTACCTTCTTTTCCCTTCCTTTCCTTCTTTTCCTTCTCTCCGATTTCCAGTGTTGTACTAGAGTTCTTCCAGTGTTCAGTGGTTTTGATATGATGACTTTTTTTTTAAAAGTTTTTTTTTCCTGAGTGGAGTCCCCAGTACTGTTCGAGGTATTTTGCCAAACATTTCACGGAGGTACCCTGCATGGAAACTGTGTTTGCATGTTGTATAATCAGCTGGTTTCCATTGTTCCCCGTCTGGGCAGCTGTCAGTGTTATTTGGCACTAACTAGCCAAAAAATCCTAGCAACTTCGTGAATTTTTGGAACCGAATCTTTTTTTGGCTTAGGTACCTATTTGGGGAGAGATCCTTGTCATGAGGAGAGACGGATGACCAATTCATTTTTGTTCAGCTTTCTCACCGCTACACTTTTCTTCCGAACTGGTTTGTGAAAAATACTCAGAACAAGGTAAGCCATTACAATGTAAACAGTTTTAATCAAGCATAAGCCCATATGTCCGACTGTGGTTCACATCAGGACCCAGAAAGCGGCTTTTTCGCGTTTCGCAGCCACGAACTTTTCGATTGTAGGAGCATCCCTAAGGTCCACTAATGATTAGCGGTGATCCTGAGCGTTTCGGCAACAAAATTTCCGTGTGACGACACCGGCGAAAATTCGCTTCTTCTGTCCTACGTGATGCCATACACCATTGGCTTTCTCCAGCCCCTCCTGTGGTCGTAATCTCATTTTACTCGTCATTGATGGAGAATTGACTTCACCTTTTTCCACTATACCTTGTTTACGAGAATATTTGTTCAATTGTGGTCAATTTTTCTATTCCGCAATATACTTTTGCGCACCAAACACATGCCCTGCTGATGGCTAGTCGCTGGCTTAAGAATATGAATTTCGAAGATTAATCTTTCCTGTCCCAGCCGATTGGTACAAGCAAGGCATCCGCACGACTTTGGGGGAACATTCCGCTGGCGCGCGGCAATAATTCGCGCGCACAGCGATTTACCTGTAAACTCTGCAAACTTTCAAGTCTTGATCGCTGATCATATCTTTGAGAATCGGCTGGCGAAAATCGAGCGGGATTCGCCGAACTACCAGTCTGACACGGCCTTTTCAGCTGTCCGCTTCTAGCCTTAATCTCTGTCTCACCACTACGGCTCAACTATAGGCGACCGTCGATCGGAGCCAAGGAAGGAGGGGGGGGCGGGGAGGAATACATCTAATTGCTGTAAGCATCAAACTGCTCAGTTTCCCCAAATCCCTTGAAACTTTTCGCTTTTTGTTGCTTGCTCATCAAGAAAATGCATGCTCATTTCAAGTACGACCTTCCTCGTTGAACTGTGTCCAACCAACGGCTGACCTTGACTGTAAAATCAATATTTGAAATGTATCATGCAGTAATTGAACTTGACTGCAAAGTATTTCGAATATATAGAGTTAGACGACCACCATTCCCTCATTGTGTTATAATTAATGCTCCTTCTCAGCCCCTGAAATTTAAGGGGATGGGAAAATCATTTCAGCGACCGAATGTCATAATGGATGTGACGGCATGGCGATGATTATGACCGACGTCGTTGCTCTAACTGAAAGCGATTTTGTCATGGTAGAGCGCTCGTGGATAATACGCCTTGGTTGCCAGTTGTTTTATAGCTTCCGGAGGTCGTTGTCACGCTCGGTCAAGTGGATGTGAGCTCTGGCTGACTAACGAGGCCGATCGGAAGGGTTTTCGAGGCCGCCAGGAATGATTGTTGTACAAGAATTCGATAGGATACGAAGGGCAGCCTATTAGAAGGCCTATTGGTCTTGTACATGCCCAAATTCGTTCGTAAAAAGGGCAGTCTTCAGGGAAAAAGGATGTGTGTACAGTAATTTAAGGCCTATTTGATAGCTCACGCTCTTTCAGTGCAAAAAGGGCGATGATTGGCATTTTCGAAGCGGTCTTTTGCATGATATAGGGGCACATGCGGAACCACAGAACCATGGTTAATTTTTCCTGAACGGCCCTCTGAATACCAGAAAAGGGGTCCCTAGTTCGATTCCTCGTGGTGACAAATTTTTGCATTTCGAGTTGACGTTTCCAAATTCGCGCAAAATGGAGTTAGCATGAATAATTAGTACCAAATTCATGATTAGGAACGTCAGTAACCCTTACAAATAGACTTTGATTGAAAAACTGGTGAAAAAGGTGTGACTAGGGACCCCCTTTTCTGGTATTCAGAGGGCCGTTCAGGAAAAATTAACCATGGTTCTGTGGTTCCCGCATGTGCCTCTATATCATGCAAAAGACCGTTTTGAAAAAGCTTGGCACACCCTGAAAGACCTTCCTTGTTAGGTCAGCCTAATCGCTGTGGTTGATGGTCGGCAGAGAAGAATGCGTTCAACATGACCAGCATGTTAGTCGCGGTCTCGAAGTATGGGCACATTCTAGCGCTATACTGCTTACTGTTAGATGTCGGTCAGACTCTGCGATTGCATCGCGCGATGCAGTCGCTCTGCCTAGAGCGATTGGCATCGCTCCAAAGTGCGAGCGACGGGAGATTTACCCGAGCGGCGCCGTGTGTATCGGTCGTCGGCGGGGTAAATCTCCCGTCGCTCGCACTTTGGAGCGATGCCAATCGCTCTAGGCAGAGCGACTGTATCGCGG